TCAACTGTAAATCAGTTGCTATTTTGTGGTCTACAACATGAAAGAAAGCCATTATAACGCGTACATGAAAAATGTAGAAACATTGGACACAACTATGGGGCACCATTGTGCAGAAGCAAGCATCACAACAAAAAAAGGAACCTCAAGGTTGATCAAGGAAAATGTGTGCAAATGTATAGGGCCCCATTCCTATATTTTGCCCAATTCACTAAATCCGCCCCTGCTAACAATGAACAATACCTCTAAAGCATTTATTAGTCTTAGCTAATGTTAATACAAACATTTCGTAATACATTTTTAAGTTCAAAAGTTGTATCTGTTAACATTAGTTAATGACCTGTGAACTAACATGAATATTAACAAAAGTTAAAGGGTTACTTCACCCAAAAATAGCAGTGTAGAGTAGCACTTGTTGTTTGTCGTTTCTCCAGACATGGTTTTATGTTTACACATTTACACATAAGCAGTTACTTTTTTGGTTGATATAATCCTTAGGTGTGTAAATGCATAATTGCCTTTTCATTATTTTTTTCAGTTTTATGTGACACAGACTGCTATGACTTTGAGCCATCCATTAAAACGCTAAAATCTGCAAAGCAAGCCACATCACAGAACAAGGAAAGTTTGTAAATGAACTGCATGCATAATAGTTGCATTACCATTTATTTTAGCCATTTGAGACAGAAAACATAATACTAAAGTAATGAATGTATGTATGTGTGTACTGTAAATAATTCAAATATGTGCTCAAAAATGTTCTCTTAATTTAGTTTACTTAAACAAACGTGTCTTAATCAAACGCTGTTGGGGGTGGTACTACCTCCCTGAAATGAGTTTTTGCAGGGTGGGATGTCTGCGTTGATCTGCCAGTCGCGGGTCTTTCATGTGGAGAACTCTGCTCATATTTTCTGCATAATGATGAATTTAAAAGTTAACGACCGAACAGATGTTTATAAAAGTTCACATTGCTGTTGCAGATGAATTATAACACGGATAACAATAAAAAAAATTTTTTTTTACCAGGTTAAATGTTGATTATTAGTAACTCAAACCTTTTGTAAACCTCTCTACCTAACCCTCGATCGCGCGCATCCGCCACGTTTGTAGTTTTTCTAACGCGTTTTATTCGTGTTTGTAGTTCTGGACCGAATCCTTCCCCAAAGCGCAATGCATTGTGGGAAATTTTAGCCATTAGAGTGTGCACGGATCCACACTTCAAAAATCGACCTGAAATAGTAGACCATCCGGGGACTTTTGGCATACTCTTTTCAACATACTATGCTTTGGGACACACTTATTCTAATCTCACATACTATTTAGGATGGATAGTATGAACATTGAGACGCAGGGATGGAACCCCCAAAGATGCTTTAATATGTTGTGCGTTTTATTAGACCGGTGACGACCGCACAGAGTAGCATTATAACAGAACTTTCAAATGTATCTAGTATGATAAAACAGTGCTGCTTTTTTTCCCACATACGCACGACCGGAAGGAGCGGAAGCGGTCAACTGTGGCATAATAAAAGCTCCGCTGCTTTCGAGCCATGTGTCGACATCAAACTACGCCTTTGCCTCTTTGTTTATTTTGAATACGCGCCCTCTAGTGGCGAAAATTACATATTGTGCCTTTAACAGGATGTGGTTTGTAGTGACCTTAAAATGTGGCACTCAGTTTCAGAAAGAAAAATGAAACCAGCAGCCCTTAATAAAGTGACATGTGGGCAATAAAACATTCACTCAGCACAGCATGTTTGTGCTTACAAAAGTACACCAAAAAATGTATGACCTATTTATTAGGACCACAAGGATGTTTGATTTTGATGAGCTTACTGTTTTGTGTCTTCTCAGGATGTGGAACGACACAGATCTTCTAAGAAATGATACCTTTTCTTGTGCGTCCCCGTCTGTGGAGGGCTACCGTTACTTTGGCGTCCTCTTGGGATCGACTGTGACCATAGTAGGAACCATAGGGAATATTCTGACCGTCCTCGCCTTTGCTACTGATGCCAGCCTGAGGACACGTTTCAATGTTCTCATAGTAAACCTTGCCCTCGCTGACCTTCTTTACTGCACGATCCTCCAACCGGTCAGTGCTGATTCATACCTGCACCTGCACTGGAGAGGTGGAGCCACGTGGTGCCGTATGTTTGGATTCCTCCTGTTCCTGTCCAACAGCGTGTCCATTATTACATTATGCCTCATCGCTTTGAGCCGTTATTTGGTTGTTGCGCATCGCACTTCTCGCTGTGCCCGTCTGCTCCTGTCCCACCGTGGAGTGGCGGTGCTCCTCATCTCATCCTGGCTACTGGGTGTAGCCAGTTTCGCCCCACTTTGGCCCGTCTACGTGTTTGCCCCACAAGTGTGCACCTGCAGTTTTCACCGGACTAAAGGGCGGCCTTACACCACCGTGCTGCTCTTCCTGTACTTCTTCTTGGGCCTGGGTTGTGTGGGCCTTTTCTACTTTCTGATCTACCGTAAGGTGCGTGTAGCCTCTAAGGCTTTTCTGAAGTACAGGCCCAGTCGTCGCTCATCAGAACGCAAGAGGGCTAAAGCCGAAACAACGACGGATGACAGCGGGATCAGTGCTGGAGCTTCAACAACTCAAAGCTGTGAGATCAGTCATGAAGAGGCAGGAGCGGAGCAGAATAAGAACAAAGCACTGGAGAAATCTGAGGGCCACACAAGCGCAAAAGAACCAAAAAACTCCATTCAAGATGCCTCAAAAGACACAGAAACATCTTCTAAACCAACTCCGGTAACAATCCAGACCACTCCAGCTGCCAACTCAGGAGAGGACAGTGAATTTAAGCGTGTAACTCGAATGTGCTTTACAGTTTTCTTGTGTTTTGTTGGCTGTTTTGCGCCATTTCTGCTGTTGAATGTCGCTGATAAGGCGAACCGTGCGCCACAGGTCATTCATATGTTTTGTGCAAACCTCACTTGGTTAAATAGTTGCATTAACCCTTTGTTGTACGCAGCCATGAACCGGCAGTTTAACCAGGCCTACAAAGACCTACTAGGCAAAGCTGTACGTCCATTAACTTGGATATGGAGAACCCGTCGGTTCACAATAAGATAAGTGATAATGAAGAATGTTATCCGACTCATTTCAATCTGAAAGTGATCTTGTGCTGTAGATGTTCAGTGACCATTTTGTGAAGGCCTGCCCAATCTAACTATTAGTAAAATTAACGTCCACGGCTGCCAGTGTTGTGCCGAATTCTGCACCCCTGCCAGATTATGCACCCCTCGTTGAAGTCACTACCTGATTGCCTAATCCCAACCCCACCCCTAATCCTAACCCCTCCCCCACACCTACTCCTAAACCTACCAATACTAGGGGGTGCATAATTTGGCAGGTTGCAAATTTCGGCACTACACCTGTAAGTGGAGTTCTCAGCGGAGCGGTGTGCTTGTACTTATATTATTGATATTTTTCTACAACAACAACAGTAGTGTTTACAACAGCAAAACCACCATAGGCCTACCCTGTAAACACAATAATAATTATAATAGGCCTAATTTAATTCTGTTTCTATTTTCAGAGTGATTAAGAGGTGCAAAGAAATATTTATTTAACTTTTAAACTTAAAATGGTCTTTTCTGTTCTGTGTTTCTTTTTCAAAACTGCGTCACGGCATTTGCTGCTATCAATACAGAAGCATCCGTTTCGATACATGTCTCAGCAAGGAGCACAGCCCTATTAAAAGCCGTGCTCCATGTGCCCCTTTTATACTTTGAGCACCTGCCCCTCCAAAGGTCTCTGCACGGCCCTGCTTCACAGTTCTCAGGTTTATCTTTATTCACCTCCATCAGCTGCATATAAAGCACAATTAAAGCAATACAACCAAATCGAACTCAAATATACACATTTGATGTATTAAGCACGGTTTTATTTTCCATTCACTTTCTATATGGTCAAATAGCTTGTACTTCTTTATTTAGCTCATTTTTTACTATAATGGTCTGTAGGCATTTCTTTCTCAAGTGGTGGGATTTTCCAGTTCCATCAAAGGTCGGAAAGAAAACGTGTCATGTGGCTTTTCACTGCAAACGCACAAACTTTCTCGGTTTCATTTCCTCATTTTTCTGATTGCACATATGCAGTAATTATGCGTGCCACCACAGGAATGATTCATAATGACATTAAGAACATGTGTAACCTCACGCACAAATGAACATGGGAGTTTGAAGTTGGGCGATGGAGAAAACAAGAACAGACATGCCTCGCTGCTTCGTTTAATACCTCACATAGGAAACCACAAGAGTTTCTTAAGTCCTCTTTTGCTTGCTGTGTTGTTTCCATTTTTATTTATCTACTGTTTAAGCTGGACCTCCAGAATATGAGATAACTTGTATGATTTTATTTTTATTAAGGATTATTTGCACAATTCCTCGAAATGTGGATATGTAATGTGTATATATTGCACATCATATCAGTGTTCTAGAATTAAAATATGATTCAAAATGATAACATATGTATGAAAATGTCGTTCTGAATGGCTTCTTTTAAAATAAAGTAACAAAATATAAAGTCAGCAAAAGGGCTTTTTCTGTTAGCACAGAAAGTATATGAACTTGCTTCTGTTATAATGGAGATTAAAGTTTGAATCTGTCCAGATCCCATTTTTATTATCTATTTGAATTTTATTATGTGTTTTTATATTACCATCTCAAGTCAGCGTCCAGCCTTTTTAGAGCTGGACACAAAACCAAGCATTTCGCAAGTCCAGACAAGTGTTCCTGACTGCGTAATCTGTAAAAATTCTTAACATTGCAACAAAAGAAGAGCCATATCACAAATGACGTCAAAGCTAAGGCCACATTGTATTTAGAAATTTATGGTCATCAAACAAAATCCCGGGTATCATGCTCATGGATCTCAGAATGGCCACAAGAGTCTGTTTATTTTATTATTTGTGAAATCAATGTTTAATAACTCACACCAATTCCAAATCCAGTTTGCAAGTCTATATATGAAATGCGGGTGTACAATGGAACATTGGACAAATCCAATTTTGTCCCTGTGTAAGGGAACAGATGGTAACCTAACAGGTTTTAACAACTTAACACAATATCGCATCCCTCTATTAACGTTCTGCTTGATCAGGTAAGTGTCTTGGTTTTCAATTAGAAAGACATCATGACAGACTTTTCTCTCGTTAGATGTTTTATTGGAGAATAGTGTACCACTGTTAACACTCTGGTATTTCAACTCTACAATGTCTTGTTCACAGATACAAAACACATTACAGGTTGACAGTTGACACAATGCAAAACTTAGTTACATGCATTTGAAACAAAGTCTACAAATTCAAACAGAAGTGATCATGGGGTAACAAAATGATTCTGCAAGAAAGTGATTAAACAACTCTGGTATGGTATTTCATTTCAGAAAAAAAAGAAGGAAATGTGGGGGCAAAAAACTATTTGGGCCTTTTTTCTCTCTAAAAGATTTCAGAGACTGTCCAATCTCCTCCAGGACCCAACAGATTCAGTTAGAGGAACACATCCTCTTTATCTGTAAACATTGTTACACAAGAAATCATTTCACTTACCAAGAAATCAGAAGCATTCTGTTCTTACACATTTCCACTCAAGTGCATTTTTTTCTGCTATCAGCTAATCACAGTGTTACTCTCAGAGTAATCATACAATCAGTCTTATTCAAATTCTTTTTTTTAACATCTAAAACAAATATTATCAAGTATTTTCACCAGAGAGATAAAGCTCTGAATAATCTCCCTTCAACTGGGATAACAGAACTTATTCCAACTTTCAAAATGATAGAGCAGTGTCATTATCTGCCTAATCAAAACTCGGTAATTGATGACTCAACTATCCAGTACCAAAAACAGGATAATGGAGTATTTCTATTGGCTTCAAGTTGGGCAGTTTAGTGAAAGCCATCGAATCAAAAAGCAAAACATTCACGTCTTCTCTACAATCTCAATAGTGGTTATACAAAATAAAAATTGATCACAAAAGACAAAAAAGTGAAGGTGCCTCAAATCCTAGAGTTAAAGACTACTACAAAAGCATCATCAACACTGGTGCCTTTAAATGTCAAATTAAGTGATAACATTTAAACCAAGCACTATTTTAAGGTGCTTTAAATTAATTGTTGCTATTACAAAGACAGTTTTTTTACCCACTTTTTTTCAAATTGTGCATAGAGAATTTGTTCTATAGTCATAAATGCATGCACAAAAATGTCTTTGCTGTTGAGATGCTTTATAAACCATTAGCTCAAAGCTAATGCCTGATTCACATAACTAAAGGTGTTTAACACATTAATAAAGTTTATTGCGTTCACTGTCAAATTATCTTTCCAATAAGGCCCAGTTAATTAGAATAAAAGAATACAAACTTTTCTTTCGACCTGCATAAAAGCTGATTGTATACTTGGATCATAAAAACATGATCTTTAGTTGGGTCAAATTGAAGAAATATGTTTGTTTTTTTTGTTTTTTTACATAAATAGTCATCCAAACTCTATTCTCTAATCTCCACTAATTTCCATTTTCAAAAGTGCTCTGATATTGTTTGAATTAATTTCAATAAAACCCTTTTTCCATCTTATTTTTATAGGGACAAATATTTGCTAGCAGCTTACGAATAGTGAGGTCACAAGACCTCATCCTAAAGGTTCTATTTTTGACCTCTAAGCCTTTTCAAAGGCTTTACTCTGATAAAAAAAAAGGAATAGAGATACGTAACAGATGACTGGATGTGTAGACATTCAGAAATAAACACTAAATGGATAAAGTAATAATTAAATCAGTACTGAAAATGAATTAATGAGCTGTATTTTGCCTGCCTACTTGATACTTATTTACAACAAATCAGAGTTACGGAAATCATTATACGGCTTGAGATTTAGCTAACCACATGGATCATGGTTTTGTGTTAAATGGATGAAATTCAGGGGGTCAGCGGTATGTTGGGATAGCCAAGGTCTTGAATCAAACCAGAATCAAGGACAAAGTCATCTGACTCCTCTGGCAGCATTCGAAGGTTTATGCCATTTAGGATGTCTGGAGAGTTTATAAACTCATGCAATGTGACATTAACATCAATGTCTGGAGAGAGCGCGTCTGCAAAGATATCCAGAGGGCTCTCTGAAAAGTTGTGTTGGAGGCATGATGGTGAAATGTGGGGGGCGGTTGGAGGAAATGCATCTGGAACAGTGCACTCGCTATCACTGTCCAAAATACTGTTAAGCATATCATCATCAGTGGTAGAGCTGGAGAGCATTGGAGACTTCTCAAACACTTGGAGCAACAAGTCATCATCACCCGCGTCAGAAAAAGGAGGGTCTTTTAAACATGAAGGAGATGAGAAAGAAAGAGAGATGTTATAAACCCAATAGCATCATTACAATAATAACATCTTGTATTTCTGATGCTCTTTAGCTTCACTTTTAAAAAATAAAGGTTCCAAAAGGAGGTTTTCACCATTGCTCTGACATAGAAGAACCATTTTTAGATCCCCAAAGTACCTTTCAGTAAAGAACCTTTTTATTAGTCTGAAGAACATTTTAATAATCTAATAAAGAACCTTTGGTTCAGTGGAAAAGTCCAAAGGATGTAAAAGGTTCTTCACTGAACCATAAATGCCAATAAAAAAACCTTTATTCTTAAGAGTGTTGGGTCAGCTTTAGAGATGCACAATATATCGGTATCATATCGGTTATCAGCCAGTTTTAGAGATTGCTCATTTTGCCCAGTCATACATTTATATAACCATTGCTGTCATCTAACGCTCAAAATTAAACTTTAAAAACGTTAAAATTCTAACAACCCTGTTAAAATTAAATCTTTAGCAAATCTCAAAATGATCATAGAATTCATTAATACAGTATAAACATGTAAAACCCCTCATTTTAGTGTTTGACATCTACTATTAATTTATTTAATCAAAACAGTGCAGAATTTCAAAATCGGCCATAACTTCAGCTTATCGATATCGGTGCATCCCTATATTTTGCATGTGCATGTGGCATGCAACCTCAAGCTTCCACAAACGTTTTTAAATCAGCGTTACTGTTATGGTTAGATTTGTGTTATTGAAAAACAGCAACACCACAGTCACAGCCCACCACACAAACACAAGGTCTCTTTGTGCAAAGTGAACCAAATGCACTTGGGTAGGAAAAGAAAGAAAGGAAGAATCTAAACAAAATTACGAAGTTGACTG